GGCTCAACTCTCATCCATGAGCAAATATCTAGGAGCATCACTGCAAGGGGTAACAGGAGGCTCTGAGTGTTTGTGCTGCCACAACTCCAGGGGGGTGAGATTCAGGCAGTTTGATTTTTGCCCTGGGTCTAAAAACTGTCAAAGTACCCGCCACCAACTTACCCATTGGCAACGTTCTGTGGATCCCAGTTCTCATTGACAATGATCTTCTCTGGAGAAACTGCAACTGACCCTTTTTCCTCAGCTTCCAGGTTGTACTTCCCAAGAAACACTCGATATGTCCGGGTAGAACTGGGCAAGGAAAGGATCAACACTCAGTGATGCAGCGGCTGCTGAGGCTGCTGCAGCTTTGCCACCTGAGAGACTCAAAAAAGAATGTCCTTGACTGTAATCTCCCATGATGTGCCTGGAGCTGAGCCAGTGATTTGTTAATCACTGTTCTAGGCTCAATAATAATTTCATCTCTGAGCCATCCTGTCAGCTTCCACTCAAGGCTTCATTAACAAACTGAGGGTGCCTCCAGTCTTTGCAGGATTCAGCTCATATTCTTCAATACAATAAACAGTTTGGACTTTTTTGACAGCCATGAACAGTGTCACTAATAAACAAATATGTGACAGATATAATATGTAGAATTTATAATAATAACATTCAGTCAATCCTTCATATTTCATATTAGGACATTTTCTACAACATAGTTTTCCAAGAACCATATGCCACCAAAGCAAAATGGGGTTGTCTTTGTGGAAACAGCTTTGATGGTGAAAGGACAGAACTGTACCTAATCATTTTTTGTTATACTGCCCCATGACATGAAGAGTTTGCTGAAAATGACTGATGCATTCAAAACATTTGTGATTATTTCTTCAGGGAATAGACTGATTAGTTAATCTGTGAATGTCACTGACATATATATTACAGAAACAGGCAACACAGGCTGAATTTTAATAGCTTGAAAACAAAAGGATGTTTGCAATTATTTACAGAAAATGAAGAGTATATAATACAGGTAACTGAATCATAATATTATTATGAGGGGTTTTTGCCTTTTACTTCCATTTTAAGAAAATGAAAAAGTGTCATTCTTCTGACTTATTAGTTATAATCAAAATATATGATCTGAAACAGAGCTCTGAACTGAGAAAGGGAGAACTGGCGTTGATGTGGGTTTGCTCCAGCTCTGTCTGCTCACGTGGGTCCAGATTTCACTCCATTTCTTACCTGATGCAGTGGGCAGCTGTCATCACCCAGTTGGTTGCAATGAGGGTTCCCCCACAGGTGTGACGCCACTCGCCATTGGAATAGTATTGCAGGGAGGCCTGGGATCAAGGAACTGAGTGAGGCTCAGATTTTTGTTACTGATTTTTCATTGTTGCGCTTTGTTCCTGCACCCAGAACACAACTCGCTGCTGGAAGAGGGTGGAAGCCTTTGGAGCAAAAAGTTTCCAACTCCTGGTCACAGAAAAGCTTTCCATCCTTCCCCATCATCCAAAAACTTGAGGTTTTAAAGGTATCTCACTTAAATAGCCAGGTCTACTTGACTTGAAATGAAAACCTGCATAGCCAGCAAGAGGTGGCACATTCAGAGCTTTCTTAAAAAGGCTAGAAGCTTTGGGGTTGATCAGAATGGAATAGTCAAAACCTAACTCATGGCAGGCAAGATGCATCAAAGGAAATGAAAGAGGTGGTTTTATTCAGCTGTGCTGTGTGAGGGTGGCACAGCCCCAACAGCTCCAGGGACAGCACAGAAGGACCAACCTGCCAGGGCCAGCTGTAGGGTCTTGCATTTTCCCCTCCAACAACTCTGGACACGTTAGGTGGGTAGGCAGGAACCCCGCAGCCAAAGGCTGGAAGACATAGAAAACAGGATTTGTGTTTTAAAAGTAGTAAAATTTTAAGATACGGAATAGCACAGCCCCCGGTTATTGCAATGAACTGCCTATGCTGTCTCTCCTTCTGCTTTGTTGCTCTACTTTCTCTAAAAAAGGAATATTGTTTCTAGATTTTAATTAACTTTTTCCTTTAAAACTAATGCAGAAATTGGACACGTACCTGCAGATGCCAGAGCCAACACAGTGAAAAGCACTCCAAACATGGTGCTGGTTCCTGGGTGCTGCAGGCTCCCCTCCACAAGCCATTTTATATTGTGTTCTTTATCTCAGGGACACATGACTTACAATGCAGAGTATTCCAGTAACAATGGAAAACTTGTGTAATTGTGGGATAATTTTTTATATACACAAGTTGCTAAAAAATCCCTGTTTAGGTGGACCTTGGAGCCAGGCTATATCAACAACTTGGTTAAAAAGAAATCCAAATTAGTTGCTCATTAACTGTAGCAGTTGTTTGCATTTTCATTGCCTTGAAAGTTCATCACAAAGGTGTTCTCAGAAGGAAAATGTTGAATGAATTTTTTTAACACCTGGTGATATGTCAGCAGTAAGTGTCTGATGTATTCAGACACTGATAGATTCAGACATGTCAGCATGGTTGGATTAGTTGATCTCTAGAGGGCCCCTTCAGCCTTAATTATTGTATAATTCTGTGATTGCTTGAAATTTTATTTTGTTCTGGTTTGGGGGCTTTTTTGTGAGTGAATGGCATCTGCCATTTGTACTGGCTGAAAAGCTGTCTTTTACCTTCTTTTCTAGATCAAGTTTTGTGTGTTCAGCACACCAGACTTCTTCAATAAACCAGGCTGGGATCACTTGGAAGTGGAACGTGTTTCAAGCCATACAAAGAACCAGCTGTCCAGGATGGTGGAGAAACCCTGGTCAGGGTGGTGACTCAGACTTCATCCCTTTCCTGTTTGCCTCTGTGAGATCAGTGGCACAGCCCTGGGGGAGAACAGGGCTCCTGCAGCATTGCAAATGGGATTGTTCACACCCCAAAGCAGTGAGACCTGGGACAGAACAGTGTGAGCTTGGTCATGCAAAGGAGTAAAGCATTTCTACTGAGGACAAAGCAGCAAGAGCAGGCATTTATACCCCTCCAGAGCTGCTGCCACAGAAGGAAGTGTCCTAATTCTACTCTCAAGCACAGGCTGTGATTTCTGGGGATGGTCCTGTGCAGGGCTAAGAGTTGGACTCGATGATCCTTATGGTTCCCTTCCAATTCAGCTTATTCTGTGATTCTTTACTGACGTTTGAGATCAACGACTTGATATCAACACTTACCCTTGGCTATTTCTTCCTTTTTATCTTCTGCTACAGGAATTTCCCATCCTCTGTCACATTTCCATCCCCCAACCCTTGAAAAACTGTTGCTGGTTATTTAAAACCCAAACATCTCTAGCCCATAAGCCAGGTCACGCCTGGGGAGCAAACTTATTAGAATGGAAACAAATATCACAACGCCAGCTTTATAACCAGAGCTGTGTTGTAAATACAGACCAAACCAGGGGCTCAAAAATGCTGAACTAAATGTGTTGTTTAATGTCAGGATTAACCAGCAGCAGAATCTCTGATTTCCACAGCTTCCATGGAGCAGTAGGTACTGCTTTGGATGGAGGATGCCTGGAGCACACATGTGGAAGGCAGAAGTATAGAATGCTTTGCTGTTTTGTCTGCCTCTCAAGAATGTATTTTCCTACCCAGACAATAGCACTTGAAAAAGCCACATTCTGAATTGCAAATTGGATCAACCAAACCCTGTTCTGGCATCTTGTATTTATTATCTGACAAAAGCAGAAACCAGGATTAACTGAGTGCAGAATTGAGATTCTAATTTTTTTCCCCATTAATTAGTTGGCTCTCTTCTTAGTGTCTTGAATTTACAAGCTAAACAACATTTTATGATGCCGTTTAACTTCCACGCCACCATCATCTTCACTGAATTACAACTAAAAGTATAAATTTTGGATGGTCAATCACTATTTAAACTTTCCTGGTTTAGTGTGTGCTTGTAAACATGGAATTTTGTTTAGTTCTTCAAGCATTTCTGTTCACAAATAACCTTCTGCTCTCTTGCATGTTGTAAATGGAAAAACCCTGTTCTTTTTCCCTTTCTCCTTTGTGAGGGAGTTCTGAAACAGTTCTTTTGTTGTAGGGGGGGAGTGCTCATAAGAATCATAACATATTTAAAGTAAAACACTCTCAAAGCTGTTTTGTTTTTTTGTTCCATCATGCTTTATGTAATGATTGCTTATCCATCTTTTCCAGGCCTAGTCTAAATAGTCTTTCTTGGACTCCGTGGCCATCACACTGTTGGTAGCTCTGCCAGGGAACATCAAAAGGCTCAGCCCCCAGCTGATACTACAGTGGCTTGGAAACAGCACCCTGGAAACTCTTATCATCTTTGTGCCAGATGTTCCACACAGGCTGAGCAGCTCCTGGAACCGCAGGAAGAAAGAGCAGGAGCTTCTGGTATGTTCTGTTAAAGCAGAACAGCAAATATCTCCTTCCATACACAATGTACATGTGTACAATTTATCATGGACTCTGTTGCCTCCCTGTCTTTATTCCCTTGCAGGGCAGTAACTCTGCTGTACCAATTAGTGAGTGGAAGTGTCTGTAGATGAGTTGCATACACTGAAATCTGCTTTTCTGAGGGAGGTTTTTCATCTGAAACTAGAGAGTAACCCCCCTAAAAATTCAAAATTAAATTCTGCCCCAGCTTTCCCCTGGGAGCACCAACTGTGCCAATGTCATTACTTGCTGGATGGCCATTAAATCTGCTGCTTGATTGTTCCCTGGGACTGTTTCTGTGTTCTTAAAACTGAAGCTTGGCCTGTGTTCCTCAGGGGAGAACAAAGTTATACAGAGCAGGGAAATGGAGATGAGCATGACCCTGTGTGGTTTGTGCCTTCCAAATTCCTGTTTCCAGCTTAGATCCATTTCTGTATTACTTTCCACGCTGTATTCTCTCATAATCCAAGCACTTTTGCAGTCAATACTGCCCACAGATGTGACATAAGGCTCTGCTTGTTTTAACTGGGTGGGGAGCAAGGGCAGGAAAGAACAGAGACAAAACCAACAGAAAACTCAACCACGCTTCAGCAATCAGATTAGACTGAAAGATATTTATTTAGAAACAACAGCTTTGGTATTTTAAAACCAAACAACCTTTAAATCACCAGAAAGTGGGATGTCTTCCCCTCCCCATAGCCAAAACAAATCAATGCATAAAGTCTCAGTAGGCTTAGAGTAGGAAACCTGCAGATCAGCATTTCCAAGTGTAAATCCAGAAAACAATTTCAGCAAATTGATTTTGCACTACAGTCATAAAGGCTGAAAAACCTGTTACCAGCACTTAGATATCTACAGATCAATTGACTGTTACTGAAGTGGAGGCAAAATTATCAACATCCTCCCCCACCCCCCAAGCAATAAATTAAAAAATCTATACCAGAAAGGAAGTTACACTAAGGTTTTCTAGTTAACTCTCTGAAGGGAATCATTATTCTCCTGTAGAATTAAAAAAAAAAACCAAAAAACAAATCAAAATATCAAAGAACTTAGTATATCTTCAAGTATGTTGACCAAATGGATTACTCTTAGGGAACTGAACAGCTTACAAGGAAAAGGAAACATCTGTTACATGAACTTCTGGCATAAACTCTTCAATCACCACACCTTCCAAGTCTCAGATTCCTGTCATAGCAAGGCACAAAAAGATTGTTGCTTTCAAAAGGTCCTTGTTCTCAGCTGCAAAATTGTCAGATGTCTTGTGCAAACAGAGGCTGAAAGCAGGACTAAGTTCACTTGGACACGGGGATGTTCCCATTCAGCTCATGGAACAGGGAGTTATTCCAACACCATCCATCTCACTGCCACAGAGGTTCTGAGCTTCAGCTGGCTCCCACTTCTGCCCTGGTTCTGGAATCAAGTTCTGCATCACCTTTCTGTTCAGTAGGTCCACCCAAGACGAGGCAGCAGAGTTTGCTGTGGCTCAGGGCTCTGCAGTGTCCGGGCCGGGGTGTTGGCTCAGCCCTGGGCTGTGGCTGTGACGCTTCTGGGCAGTTCAGTGAGCAGAGTCAGGGACAGTCACCTGCAGCAACGGTCAACAGGTCACTTGGGAACAGGCAGAAGGCAAGTCTTGGAGATGACAAAGGCAATCAGAGAGACAACAGTGAGAGAAGGACATAATTACATAATTCCAAGGACACGTTCCTGGACACGTGCCAGCTGTGTACACAACAACTGACACCACCTCCCAACCCTTTCCTCCTTTTGCACTAAGGTTTGGATCATGATCAGAGGCTTGTAACTGCAGTTGTCTGACACACACATCTATCCTACCTCTTCCTAGGTTAGTCTGTCCAGCCACAAGCACCTCCCACTCATTCCTTCATTGGATGACAGGTATTCAGACCTGCTTGGGATCAGGTTTGATCCCCAGTGCTCACCACGACAAAGCCAGGGAGCTGACACGGAAATTTGCAGCTCTCCTTAAACACCCCTTACATACCAACTGTCTAGTTTAGTCCAGTGCCTTCTGTCCAGCCTTAGCTATGAAAAAATTGAATTTGCTTTTACCAGTTGGAATAACAGGGCAATCTAAAGCTAGAACTTCTCCTCTGACAGCTCTACTTAACTATCTCCTTTTTATTTCCTTTTTTTTTTAAACACAAGTTACATTTAACTCTGTTCAGCCCTTAGGAGGGGAAGCCTCTGAACAGCACAAGGGAGCTCACACAGCAAATCCAGTCTGGTCTTGCATTTCTACTCTGTATCAACACGCAGCCAGAAAGTCCCAGTACTAAGAGCAGAATTCACCTTCTATTCTCTAGTTTTTACTAGCAACTAAGTTTTCTAAGGCAACTCTAACCAAGAATTTCAAAATCTTTACACCCAAATGAGATGCAGTAGAGCTTGAAGCCAGAGCCTCCAACTCACAGTAAAAAGCACTCAGTACTTTCCTTAATTTTGTCTGAATGGAAGAAACACCAACTCAGCACCTCCCCCAAACAATGGTGGTAAATGTGGTTTGATGGAGGACTGCACAGTGTCTGTAAATCCACGAACATGGACCAGGGGTCCCAAAAGTCAGAACACCAGCCTGCATTTGGGTGTTGCAGTGTGACATGTCACCCATTCAGACCAGGTGTGACATCTCCACACAGCAGTTCAGACAAGCACAGCAGCTCTCACAAGCTTTCTGGTATTGCAGAACAAGAAACATCATCTCCTGACATTCATGGCTTAGAAACAAGCAATGATGTGTGGAAAAAGGACAGAAAGCTGTGTCTGCCTCCACCTGCAGCCTTACAAATGTCTAAGGACAGATGATGAGTTCATCTCTGCTAATATTTATGAGCCCTGCTGCTCTATTATGAGCCCTATTCCCTCCCTGTGCAAGAAGAGGTCACAGGTTGCTTGTTGCAAGAGAGACTGAAAATCCTCACAGTCCAAGACAGACCCTGCCCAGGCACAGCTGACAGAACACCAGGCTGACAACACTCAGTGGACAGCAGCCAAAAGCAGCAGCCTTATACCTTACTCCTGAAGAGTGGCTTGGCTCCAGGCCCACAATATTCGTTGTAGATGAGTTTGAACAGAAACAAGTGAAACAAAGTGATTAAGGAGGCCACACTGAACCAGAACAGGAAGGGCAAGCCCGGGTATTGCTTGGCCATGTGCTCCTCATGAGCCAGGATAGCTTTTAGGTGGAGTGTGTGTCTCAGGTCCTGCAGGTGGACCAGGTCTGTGGATATATAAAGCAGGGGTGTGATGGGCTGGGTGACCATGACGGGGAAGGTGTGACCCCGTGCCTCCGAGGTGAGCTCCACGGGCTCGTTCATGCAGCCTGCCTCACAGGCATACAGCCTCACTGGCTTCTCCTGCAGCTTCACTGACACGTGCAGGAAGGGCTTCCCTTCGGCATCCAGCAACACAGCCAGGTTGATCAAGTCCTTGTTGTAATGGATCCCACGTAAGGAGTAGCTGTTGTGAAGCACATCAGGGTCAGCCTGGAACTGGAGATGGTTCTCTGTGAACTGCAGCCCCCCAAAGCTCAGCACCATGCCCTGCATGAGCCCGTGCACTCCAGCTGCCACCAGGCCCTTGCAGCCCCGTTTCTGGAGGGTCAGCTTCCACAGGTCTGAGAGCTGCAGGATCTGGGGGATGCTGGTGAGCCTGGCTGGCCACAGGTTCTGGGCGTGCATGGTGGCGTGGCCGCTGAAGCAGTGGTCAGCATAGTTCAGGCTGCCCTCCATCCTCTCCCTGTCCTCAGCACTGATCAGGGGGTCCAGCAGGGGGGCTGGCATGGTGGACAGCACGTAGTACAGGGTCATGTTGACAGTCTCACTGGATGGGGTGTGAGCATCCGTGATCTTCCTCATTTCAATCCCTGGAACAAAAGGAAAACAAGGCATTAACCAGGAGGAAAAGAAGATCAAATGTGCACATTGTCCAAGTGTTCTTTATGATATCTAATAAACCTTTGTCCATAAAACACTGCAGTGAAATGTTTCCTTGTATTTGTCTAAGAAGGCAAATCACTCTCTCTGCTACTTGGAGTTGGAAAGTCAAGCTCTCACACAGACAAAGCTACTCTTATACACAGATGTCACCATGACTCTGCAAGAATGATCTGTCAAAGGAACATCCCTTTCTACTGGCTATAAAATAGCAAGTTCTGCATTACTTGGGCAACAAGGCCATTAAAATCTTACAAAGCCATCTTTGAAATCTTTGGAAAAATCATCTTTGTCCTGTTAAGGACAGTCCTTTACTTCCATGCAGAAATCTGTCTTGTTACAGTCACTAAAGGTCAACTCTATTTCCAGCTGACAAATCAGTGAAGTTCCTGAAGCCATGGAAGACAGCACACCCAGAGTTGTGATCAGAAATGTTCTTCCATCACTTCCTTTGTGCAGTCAGGTGTCCTCCACATCGTTAAAGCATGCTGGATTCCAAACTGTTTCATTATCCCACAAACCCTGAGGAAGAGTGGAGCCCCTGGAGCCCTTAGAGCAACCAGGTCACTGAGCTTTCAGCCACTCTCTGTGGAAGCTGAGCATCACCTTCCTTACCTGAAATGAACAGGTCAGACCAGGTCTGCTGGTGCTCCTGGAAAAGATCTTCCACCCCCATCTGCATCACCTCCATCATCTCTTTCCTGGCCGCCTCCCTCAGCCTGCCGAGGGTCTCCTCCAGCCGGGCGGGCTCGGTGGGCTCCGAGGTGTGCACCACCGACAGCACCGTCTCGTCGAAGTGCGACTTGGGCGCGACCTGCAGGCGGCTCACGAGCTTCTGGGCCGCCACCACCACCAGCACCGCCTTGTTGCCGCCGGGCAGCGCCAGGCGGCCCGAGGAGAGCACGAACTGCCGCTCCCCCGCCTTCTCCAGGCTGCTGGAGAACCGCCCGCCGGGCGCCGGGGGCGAGGAGGCCTCAAAGGCGACCACTCTGTCCGTGGGGTTGGCGATGCGGAGGCGCTGCAGGTAGAGGTGCGGGCGGCCCCGGTGGACCACCACGTCCTCCCGCACCGTCACGCAGTCCCCGGGCCCCGCGCCGGGCCCGGTGTGAACGCACCGCACCGCCCGCACCGCCCCGTCCCGCAGCGCCGCCAGCGCCGCCCGCGCCTCGCCGCGCCCGCCCAGCGCCCGCAGCCGCACCAGCGCCGGGTACTCGGTGGCGAGCGCGGGGCCCGCCGGGGCCCCCGCCGGCCTCACCCACAGCCGCCCCGCGGTCACATCCAGC